TCCTGCTCCTGGTGAGCCAGATAGTGGATAACTGCTGTGGTTTAACTCCATGCCTCATGTTCTGCCCAAATAAAAACTAAATTTATCTAGAATAAAAACCTGAAGATCTTGATGGTACTGGCTTTGGGATGAAATTTCCAAGGAGCTGCTCTGTTTTTTGTGACCAGGAAAGCTGCCTGAACTGATGGACCCAGTTGGTGTTTGCCCTGAAATCTGGAAGGTTTGTGTCACTGAGTGTAGGAGTTTGTGAGCTTCACTAGCAACTTTCAAACAAATATGTTATTTTACTGAAGCTGTGCATGTGCTGCCAGCTGAGTGCTGGGAAGTGGGAGCCTGTTGGCCTGTGATGGAGCAGCCCCTGTGGCATTTTCAGCCATGTGGCTTCAGAGCACGGTGCTTTTGGATGTTTGTCTTTCCTGCCGCACATCTGAGGCCCTCTCTGAGTCCCCAGCCTCTGCTCTCTCCCCATTTTTACCCCTGTGTAGCCTGGCAGAGGGAGTGTAGGGGAAGATTGTTGTGTAAATGCAATGGGGATGCTTAAAAAAAACCAAACAGTGGACTTCAGAATGCAGAAATGAAATGGCATTTTCTGACAGGAACAAATGCATTCCAGAAACCACAAAATCATGGAATGCTTTGGGTGGGATGGGGCCTTAAAGACCTTCTGCTTCCATTCCCCTGTCTGACACAGGAACACCTCCCACTGTCCCAGGGTGCTCCAAGCCCCTCCAGCCTGACCTTGGACACTTCCAGGGATCCAGGGGCAGCTTCTCTGGGCACCCTGTGCCAGGGCCTCCCCACCCTCACAGGAGAGAATTTCTTCCTAATATGTAAAGGTCTCCTTTCAGTTTCAAACCTTTCCCCCTTGTCTTATCAGTGTCTGCCTGTGTAAAAGTCCTTGGATTGCTCCTGCTCCCTCCCTCTGTTGGGCTGCCATTCACATTCCTTTCCCTTTCATTCATGAAAAAGTTATTTTTGTGTCTCTTCTTGTTTGAAGTAAATGCCTCTGAAATGGAGAGTGATTGGGGTTTGGATGTGTCTCCAAAAATAAAACTTGCATCTTCTTTCAAGATTTCCTTTGGTGATGGTTGGGGTGGCCTCTGTGGAAATACATAAAAATAACTTGGTGGATTAAAAATACTGTGGGGAACTGCTGGTGCCAGCAGCTCCTGGGAGCTGGAAAGCTTTGGAAGGGCCTGTACAGCCCCCAGATAAATCTGCCTGGGAGAGAATGTGTCCTCCAAGTTGTCAGGCTGCTGCCTGTGCAGAGATTGTTCCCTGAGGAGCCTGGCACCAGGGCTTCTTGCTCCAAAGGGAGAGGAATGAGAGCTTCTCTGTGTTCCACCCTTATCTGTTTGCAGATAAGGAATTTTACTAAAACCCAAGATCCTGTTTGCCAAAGGAACTTTGGTAACATTTACACTGGAACATGTCCAGAGAAGGGAACAGAGCTGGGGAAGGATCTGGAGCTCCAGGAGCAGCTGAGGGAGCTGGGCAGGGGCTGAGCCTGGAGCAAAGGAGGCTCAGGGGGGCCCTTGTGGCTCTGCACAGCTCCTGACAGGAGGGGACAGCCGGGGGGGTCGGGCTGTGCTCCAGGGAACAGGGACAGGAGCAGAGGGAACGGCCTCAGGATGGGCCAGGGGAGCTTTAGATTGGATATTGGGGAAGTTTCCACCCCAAAAGAGTGGCCAAGCACTGGCACAGCTGCCCAGGGCAGTGATGGAGTCCCCATCCCTGGAGGGATTTAACAGCCCTGTGGATGTGGCACTTGGGGACATGGTCAGTGGGGGCCTTAGCAGTGCTGGGTTAATGGTTGGGATTGTGGAGGTCTTTTCTCCAATGTTTATGATTCCATTATTCAGGTTTATTTCCTAAAAGTTCCTTTTCTCCTTCTGGAAGCTGCCATAAGGATTGAATCCTGCTCCCATAAGCCCTTACATGTGGCTGCATTTTTCCCTTTGCTCTGGATCCTGTGCATCTCGTTCGCTCCAGCCTCTCCTTGAGCTCATTAATAGTGATATTAATCTGTTCCAGTTCCCAGCTCTAATTGCAGATTCCATCAGATCAGGGGTTTCTCTTGATCTTTTCCAAGAAGTTCATTATCTAACACAGCTGTAAATGTTGCTGGGCCTGACACTGATGCATATTTTGTACCATGGGGGAATTTGACTAATAAAATAATCCAATTAGACATTTGTTTTTGTCTCCCTGAGGCATCTTAGATTACTTGTCTACCTCAGCTCTGTGTTGTAATTAGGGAACGTTTGTAGATCCCTTTGATGTAAAAGCACTGGTGTTATCCATGGCTCTGGCTGTGGTTCAGAACTTGGGAAAAGGAATAGCTGGGGATTAAACCTGCAGCAGGAGCTGGCAGGGCTGTGGAAGCTGTCAGACCTGTGGGGAGGGATGGCAGTGTTTGAGTGTTGTACAGCAAATATTCCAACATGGGGGATCTCTGAACAGGAGCTGTTGTTGGAGGAGTCTCTTGTCAAAGACAGCATTCCTGAGAATGGAGAGACCTGAGAATGGAGGTCCTTAGAGAACAGAATTAATTAATTCAGTGAAAACTGTTTTCATTGAATCACAGGATGGTTTGGTATTGTATTTGTGGGGTTCCCAGACAAAGGAAGGAACGATGAATCTGACTCCATGTTCTCAGAAGGTTAATTTATTATTTTATGATACTTAAAGAATACTAAACTAAACTATACTAAAGAATACAGAAAGGATACTTAGAGAAGGCTAAAAAGATGATAATGAAAACTCCTGACTCTCTCCAGAGTCCCGACACAGCTTGGCCCTGATTGGCCAAAGAGTGAAAACAACTCCCAGCAGAATCCAATGAAACAATCACCTGTGGGTGAACAATCTCCAAACACATTCCACATGAGCACAGCACAGGAGAAGCAAATGAGATAAGAATTGTTTTCCTTTTTCTCTGAGGCTTCTCAGCTTCCCAGGAGAAAAACCCTGGGCAAAGGGATTTTTCCAGAAAATGTGACTGTGACAGTTTGGGTGGGAAGGGACCTTAAAGCCCATGAAGTTCCAACCTGCTCCCATGGGTAGGGGCACTGGCAAGGTGCTGATGCTATGGCTGTGCCACATCCTCTCTCATTTACTGTAGGAGTGTCTGGGGCTAGGACGGTCAGGACAGATGGGTATGAGAGATCTCTGCAGGCAGGTCAGGAACTTGGGGTTTATTGCAAAGGGCCTGGGAGCAGGGCCCTGCTGGGAGCTGCCAGGCACAGCTCAGAGCAGGCCTGAGAGGAGAGAGACAGTGGAAAAGAGGGTGAGAGAGAGAGGATGAGAGAATGAGAGAGTGAGGTTCCTGTTACAATACAATAAATCTTCTCCTGTGTTGAATGTTCTATTTCTCACTAACCAATCTAGTACAATATACAAATCCTATAGCATTTACATACAGCCTATAAGAATCATTACATTACCATACTGTGTTACATTTCAAACCCTAAAAACTCCTCTTTGGACCCCTTCTGCCAAGCTGGCAGGGTCTGCTCTGACCCTGTGACCTGTCTGCAAGCAGAGGGTGTTGTTCCATCAAAAGGGGATTACCTTCAGTCTGCCACACCACTGTTTTCCAGTTGTTCAGTAACTGAGGGATCTCAAAGCTTGCTTTCATTTCAATCTCCCTTATAGTTTCTATATTCTCAAAATCTTTTGCCAGACAATCATATTTATAAGGGTTTCTGTAGCCATGATATTTTCTGAAAAATCCCTTTGCCAGGATTTTTCTCCTGAGAAGCTGAGAGGCCTCAGGAACAAAATGCAAACAATGATTATCTGATTATCTGCTGCTGTGGAATGCAACAGGTGCATCTGGGATTGGTCTCATGTGGTTGTTTCTAATTAATGGCCAATCACAGTCCGGCTGTGTCAGACTCTCTGGTCAGTCACAAGATTTTATTATCATTCCATTCCTTCTTATTCCTTTCAAGCCTTCTGATGAAATAATTTCTTCTATTCTTTTAGTATAGGTTTAATATATAATTTTCTTATAATATATAATACATATTATATAAATATATATTATGTATGAATATATATCATATATCATGTAATATATATATATAATCATAATAATAATATATATCATAAAATAATAAGTCAGTCTTCTGACACATGGAGTCAAGATTCTTGTGTCTTCCCTCGTCCTGGGATTCCTGTGAACACCACCACAGCTCTCCTGTTTCATCTTCTGATGAAATCCCTTCTTCTATTATTTTAGTATAGTTTTAATATATAATTTTCTTTTAATAAATAATATATAATCATAATATAATATATAATATATAATATATAAGATATAATGCATATTATATAAAATATATTATATATAAATATATCCTATATATCATATATATATATAATAATATAATCAAAGTAATAATATATATATCATAAAATAATAAGTCAGTTTTCTGACACATGGAGCCAAGATTCTCATGTCTTCCCTCATCCTGGGATCCCTGTGAACACCACCACAGCTCTCCTGTTTCATCTTCTGATGAAATCCCTTCTTCTATTCTTTTAGTATAGTTTTAATATATATTTTTCTTTTAATAAATAATATATAATAATATAATATATAATACATATTATATAAATATATATTATATGAATATATATTATATATTATATTATAATATGTTATATGTGTTATTTTATATATTATATATTATGTATATTATATATTATATAGTATATTATATATACTATATAATATTATATTATATATAATATATATGATATATATTATATATTATATATTATATGTTATATAATATATATAGTAATATAAGATATATTTATATAATCATATAATCAAAATAGTAATATATATCATAAAGTAATAAGTCAGTTTTCTGATACATGGAGTCAAGTTTCTCGTGTCTTCCCTCGTCCTGGGACCCCTCTGACCCCCACCACAGCTTTCCTGTTTCATCTTCCCCAACAATTTCCTCTTTGTCTTCTCTCCCCAGTCTTCCCCTGGTTTGGCTTGGACATCGGAGGCACCTTGGTCAAACTGGTTTATTTTGAACCCAAGGACATCACGGCCGAAGAGGAAGAGGAAGAAGTGGAAAACCTCAAAAGCATCCGCAAATACCTGACCTCCAACGTAGCCTATGGCTCCACAGGCATTCGGGATGTGCACCTGGAGCTCAGGGAGCTCACGCTGTGTGGACGTAAAGGCAATCTGCACTTTATACGCTTTCCTACCCATGACATGCCTGCTTTTATCCAAATGGGAAGCGAAAAGCACTTCTCGAGCCTCCACACCACCTTATGTGCCACGGGAGGTGGAGCGTACAAATTTGAGCAGGACTTTCGCACAGTAGGCATTTTTGGCTTCTATACCGTTAAGGATCTGGTAGTGAGGTTGCTTTGAAAGCTTCAAACTAGAAACTTTGCTCTGCACGCCCTGAAATTTCTCTGAATCTCTGTTTTGATGCTGTCCCTAACTCCAAGCTGGCATCTCCAAATTAAAACACTTCCTGCCCTGAATGTAACTCTCAAATTGTTTGCTAATGATCTTTCTTACACATCTTCCTCTCTGTTTTTAATCTCTTCTTGTGCTAACCTCAGTCTTTTTGTTTTTTTGCTGTCTTTCTCCTTTATTTTCTTCCTTTGCTTGCCTGGTTTCATTTCTAACACCTTTGTGAATGAGCTGGTTGAGGTTCAGGCATATTTGGTGGTAAATGTAACTGTCTGGAAGTTCATAGTTGGGGTTGGACATCATCATGTGGCTTCACCTTGGTCATGGTGAAAAATATGTGATAAATATTTGTTTAGTCAGGGCTTGGAAAAATGCAAATAAAGAGGCTTTTAGAGAATCATTCAGGGTGAAAAGCACTCTAAGATCATCCAATCCAATGCTGCCAAGGCCACCACTGACCCATGTCCCCAAGTGCCACATCCACATGGCTTTTAAATCCCTCCAGGGATGGGGATTCTACCACTATCCTGGACACAACAATTATTTCTGTTAAGTTTTTCCTAATATCCAATTTTGTGTGGTCAAGGCATGAGGGGAAAACAATTTTATCCTCTCCTCGCTTTTTTTTGATGTTCCTGTGGATGGGTTTTGCAGGATATTTTGGTCAAACAATGGAAGTCCCCCCTCATTTTTCCTGACTTTTCACACCAGTGCCTCAACATCAGAGCCTAAATCAGGGCTGTGGGAGTTGCTGGAATTCTCTCAGTGTCCATCTGTGGATCCAGATTGTTTTCCCCTGTTCCTCACTGTATTTAAGAGTCCCTGAGCTCTCCTGTGATCCATTCTCCCTCAGCCTCCACAGGGAGCATGGACATAGCTGGACTGAGCTGGCAGTGAATGCATTTTTCCAGCCCTGAGCATAAATACTTCAAATCCCTGGCTGATGTTCAATATTCCTCTTCTTTCCTTCCCACCAGATGGGTGACCTTGAGCTGTGCAAGCTGGATGAGCTGGACTGCCTCGTTAAAGGAGTGCTGTACATTGACTCTGTGGGCTTCAATGGACACTCTGAGTGTTACTATTTTGAGAACCCCACGGATGCTGAGAGGTGCCAGAAGCTTCCATTCAACCTGGAGAATCCCTATCCTCTCCTCCTGGTGAACATTGGCTCAGGGGTCAGCATTTTGGCTGTCTATTCCAAAGACAACTATAAACGGGTAACAGGCACCAGGTGAGTGCTGGGGGCTTAAAGGGGCTTGGATGTTTAGGGTCTGGAGCACAGTTCTGCTTTGTAAATGGCATTTTCAGGGCCAAGCTGCAATAAAGGTGGTGAGAGCAATGACCAAGCTCCTGCTCTTACTGCAGTTACTCCCTGCCAGAAAAGATCCCTCCTGGAAAAGAGGATGTGGATTTCATGGTTTGGTGTCTTTATTGCAGCCAATCTCCATCAAAGCTGGTTTTACAGTTGCTCTGCTGAAGGAATTTAAGGACTTTATTTATTTCTTTTATGAGATCACATGATTTGAAATTGTTAACAACTCTTAGCTTTGATCCAACATGTTGAGATTTCCATCCTGACTTCCAGAAGTTGCCCAATTTTGGTGGAAGGGATAATGGCATAGCAGTAATTCCCCAGTTGCTGTCCATCTTAAAGATGTGTCCTGGCAAAGCCATAGAGTTTTTGTGTCCTGGCAAAGCCAGAGAGTTCTGTGGCTTTAAGCTTTCCTGGATTCCCTGAAAGGCAATAGTAGTAATAATAATAATAATAATAATTTTAAATTCCCTCAGTACAGTTCTTACTCTTGCTAGACATTATTAGCAGCATCTCTGTGCTGTAAAGTGAACAAGACAGAGTTTTTCCCCCAACTTTTGAATATCTGCCCTGACACTCCAGTTATCCCTCAGAACTAACATTTATTTTAAGATGACCATCTCTGGATGCTGGGAAAAAAGTGGACAGTGTAACATAAAAAACAGAAGGCTGTGAGGGATTCCTTACAGCCTCTAGGTCTAGCTTTATTTATTTTATGAAATCAGATAGTTTGGGATTGTTAACTCTTAGCTTTGATCCAAGAAGTTGAGATTTCCATCCTGACTTCCAGAAGTTGCCCAATTTTGGTGGAAGGGATAATGGCATAGCAGTAATTCCCCAGATGCTGCCCATCTTAAAGATGTGGCTTTTGTGTCCTGGCAAAGCCATAGAGTTCTGTGGCTTTAAGCTTTCCTGGATTCCCTGAAAGGCAATAGTAATAGTAATTATAATGATAATAATTTTAAATTCCCTCAGTACAGTTCTTACTCTTGCTAGACATTATTAGCAGCATCTCTGTGCTGTAAAGTGAACAAGACAGAGTTTTTCCCCCAACTTTTGAATATCTGCCCTGACACTCCAGTTATCCCTCAGAACTAACATTTATTTTTTTAAGATGACCATCTCTGGATGCTGGGAAGAAAGTAGACAGTGTAACATAAAAAGCAGAAGGCTGTGAGGGATTCCTTACAGCCTCTAAATCTAGCTGTATTTATTTCTTTTATGAAATCATATAGTTTGGGATTGTTAACTCTTAGCTTTGATCCAGGATGTTGAGATTTCCATCCTGACTTCCAGAAGTTGCCCTGTTTTGGTGGAAGGGATAATGGCATAGCAGTAATTCCCCAGTTGCTGCCCATCTTAAAGATGTGGATTTTGTGTCCTGGCAAAGCCATAGAGTTCTGTGGCTTTAAGCTTTCCTGGATTCCCTGAAAGGTAGTAATAATAATAATAATAATAATAATAATAATAATAATAATAATTTTAAATTCCCTCAGTACAGTTCTTACTCTTGCTAGACATTATTAATAGCATCTCTGTGCTGTAAAATGAACGAGTTTTTCCCCCAACTTTTGATTATCTTCCCTGACACTCCAGTGAACTAACATTTATTTTAAGATGACCATCTCTGGATGCTGGGAAGAAAGTGGACAATGTAACATAAAAAAATCAAGGTGCAGAAGGCTGTGAGGGATTCCTTACAGCCTCTAGGTCATGTGAAAGGAACAGACTGAGGGAAATGCTGCCTTTCCAAGATGGTTTTCCCTAAAACAGAGCTCAGGAATGGGTTGATCTGAGCTAACTGGGATGCAGAGCTGAACAATCTGAGCCTTCATTTTCCTTTTGCTTTGTTTGCAGCCTTGGAGGGGGAACCTTCTTTGGCCTCTGCTGCCTTCTGACAGGCTGCTCCACCTTTGAGGAGGCCCTGGAGATGGCATCCCACGGGGACAGCACCAAGGTGGACAAACTGGTCAGGGACATCTACGGAGGAGACTACGAGCGCTTCGGGCTGCCAGGCTGGGCTGTGGCATCCAGGTAATGCCCTGCCTGCCTCTCAGGTTGGTTTTGTTTCCCCTGGAGATCCTGCAAGGATGAAAAACTGGGTTTAGGTGCCTTAGGAGAGCAACCATTCCTAAGAGATCTAAGTTATGGATAGCAATGGTTTTTGAAGTTGGAAATCAGTCCTTCAAGATGAATCCCTTTGGTTAAATTAGCAGTTCTGATTTTCTCCTGGAATTCTGATGGGATCTTTAACCCAAAAACTGTCTTCACAGCTTTGGAAACATGATGAGCAAGGAGAAGAGGGAATCTGTCAGCAAGGAGGACCTGGCCAGGGCCACTTTAATCACCATCACCAACAACATCGGCTCCATAGCACGGATGTGTGCCCTTAACGAGGTATTTTGGGAATCTCTTCCCTTGCTCCCTGCCTGAAACATCACCTGTGTGCTGCTGCCTGCTTGAGGAATGTGCCTCTCTCTGGGAACAGCTCTGGGAAGCAGTGGGAGAGGAGGAAAGGAGGGATAGGGGGTGTAGAGGCTGGATATCTTCTCCTGTGCTGTTTTTATGAGTTGCTCTGGATTTTTTGGCCAAGCCCCACCACTGCCACGGCCTTTGCTGCATCTTTGTGCTTTCAGCTTCTTTACAGTGCTGCCTTGTTGCATTCATGTCAAGCAGCATTGTACAGGGCTATGAAAGAGCAGAGACCTGCTCTGCACTCCATCCTGAGCCTGCTTCCATGGGATGGGCTGATGGAATCCAGCATCCTCCTGACTCCTCTAGCTCTGCAGCCAAAATGAGGCAAGACATGTCCTGAACAGCCTTGCTCATAGTGTGTCTGCTAATTCCTTGTTCTGGAGCTCAGCTGAATGAAAAGAGGATCCTGAATAGTTCTAATCAGTGTGGGGAGGGCAGGAAAATCCACAGAAGGAGTGCAGGAGCAGGTAAAAGACTTGATCTGGTTCCTCAGAAAGAGGAGGAACTGAATTGTTTTTGTGTTGGAGAACAAGAAAGCTTCAGAGCTTGGATCAGTAATGTTTTAGGATGGAAATGTAAGGCTGAAGGTCTGGTTTAAATTCAAAATTATCACTACTTGGTTGGTCTTTTTATTTCTTTAAAAATTGTGTTGGTTATGGGCTCCTAATCAGTTTTTCCCCCCCAGTTTAACAGTAGTCACTCAGCTATTTCATGATGGATCAGAGGCCAGAGCTGGGAGGAGGGGAGGCAGGTGGCACTTGATGATCAGTGTTCCCAGGCACTCTAAGGATTTTGTAGGAAAATCAGCCATTCTGTCCAAATTCCTGAGTTAGAAAGGCTGTAGTTTGGCCTGGGAATTTCTGGGAGAGTCTGAGGAAGAGAGTAGTTTAAAATGGCCTGGTCCTTCTTTCTGATGGAATTGTGTGTGGTGTTCTGCACATTCTGCCAGACACTTTCAGCAGGAACTTAATTCCTAGAGCAATTCAGAGCCATTCAGGTTGGTGAAGTCCTTTAAGATCATCCAGTCCAGCCATTCCCCCAGCACTGCCACAGCCACCACTGACCATGTCCCAGAGTGTCACATCCACATGGCTTCTAAATCCCTCCAGGGATGGGAACTCACCCTGGGCAGCTGTGCCAGGGCTGGATAACCCTTTCAAAGAAGAAATTTATCCAAATATCCAATCTAAAGCTCCCCTGGCCCAGCCTGAGGCCGTTCCCTCTGCTCCTGTCCCTGTTCCCTGGAGCACAGCCCGACCCCCCCGGCTGTGCCCTCCTGTCAGGAGCTGTGCAGAGCCACAAGGGCCCCCCTGAGCCTCCTTTGCTCCAGGCTGAGCCCCTGCCCAGCTCCCTCAGACTCTCCTGGAGCTCCAGACCCTTCCCCATGTGGGGTCTTTATCATTGCAAGCAGAAAATAGAATTTAGCCTTAATATTCCTTTTTTCCCCCCTTTTTAACACTTGCAGAACATCAACCGTGTGGTGTTCGTGGGCAACTTCCTTCGGATCAACACCATCTCCATGAGGCTCCTGGCCTATGCCCTGGACTACTGGTCAAAGGGACAGTTAAAAGCACTTTTCTTGGAACATGAGGTAAAATTCCTTCTTAAAATTTGTCTCATGGCAAAATACAAATCCTTGGAGCCTTCTGGAAAGAGCCACATGGAGCTGTTGGGTGCACACAGTGCAGGAGGAGCTCAGGGCTTTGCTGCTACAGCCACAGCTTCCCTTTCCCTTTCCCTTTCCCTTCTTCCTTTCCCTTTTCCTTTCCCTTTTCCTTTCCCTTTTCCTTTCCCTTTCCCTTTTCCTTTCCCTTTTCCTTTCCCTTTTCCTTTCCCTTTTCCTTTCCCTTTTCCTTTCCCTTTTCCTTTCCCTTTTCCTTTCCCTTTTCCTTTCCCTTTTCCTTTCCCTTTTCCTTTCCCTTTTCCTTTCCCTTTTCCTTTCCCTTTTCCTTTCCCTTTTCCTTTCCCTTTTCCTTTCCCTTTTCCTTTCCCTTTTCCTTTCCCTTTTCCTTTCCCTTTTCCTTTCCCTTTTCCTTTCCCTTTTCCTTTCCCTTTTCCTTTCCCTTTTCCTTTCCCTTTTCCTTTCCCTTTTCCTTTCCCTTTTCCTTTCCCTTTTCCTTTCCCTTTTCCTTTCCCTTTTCCTTTCCCTTTTCCTTTCCCTTTTCCTTTCCCTTTTCCTTTCCCTTTTCCTTTCCCTTTTCCTTTCCCTTTTCCTTTCCCTTTTCCTTTCCCTTTCCCTTTCCCTTTCCCTTTCCCTTTCCCTTTCCCTTTCCCTTTCCCTTTCCCTTTTCCTATCCCTTTTCCTTTCCCTTTTCCTTTCCCTTTCCCTTTTCCTTTCCCTTTCCCTTTTCCTTTTCTTCCTCCTTTTCCTTATTTTCTTTTCTTCCTTTTCCTTTCTTCCTCCCTGTAGTTTTATCTTTCTCCTCTCATTTATATGTTGTTAAAATTAAACTGTGTGTGAATAGCCTGGAGAAGGGAGGGCTCCAGGGAGACTTTCCAGTGCCCAAAGGAGCTCCAGTAGAGCTGGAGAGGGACATAGACAAGGGCCTGGAGTGACAGGACAAGGGGAATGGCATCCCACTGCCAGAGGGTAGGGATGGATGGGATAGTGGGAAGGAATTGTTCCCTGTGAGGGTGGGCAGGCCCTGGAATGGATTTCTCAGAGCAGCTCTGGCTGCCCCTGGATCCCTGGAAGTGTCCAAGGCCAGGTTGGACACTGGGGCTTAGAGCAACCTGGGACAGTGGGAGGTGTCCCTGTCCATGGCAGGGGGTGGCACTGGGTATCTTAGGGTCCTTTCCAACCCCAGCCATTCCCTGGTTCTGTGGGCATTGCTGTTCCTGTGTCAGGGAACACATTCCATGGATTTTCACTGCATGTCCCCCTCTGCTCCTCAGGGTTACTTTGGTGCAGTGGGAGCTCTCCTGGGACTGCTGGACTCAGCCTGACTGTGCAGGATCTGTGTTGGACCTGTGGATTCAGGGCACTCCCTGGGCCACTGAGCCCCTGGTTTGGGGGTCACTGAGCCCCTGGTTCGTGTCACAGCCCCCACTGAGACTGTTCCACTGTGGGGGCAGCCTGGGGATGGGTGTCTGGAAGAGTTGGAATCCATCTGGGATTACAGCACAGGTTTGTTCCAGAGGATGTGATTGGAATACACTGGCTGGACCTGGGGGTGTATGGGAAGGTCTGGGGGGCATTTCAGTCACATGGAATTGCCCTTTTTAGGGGAGTTCTTTTAGTTTTACTCCATGTTTAATGACGGTGACAAAGCAGAGCAGGGGTGCTCTGCTCCTTCTGCTGGGATCCCTCGGAGTGCCAAGTGCCCAGGTCAGTTCTGTGCTCACAATCACAATCAGAGGTTCTCCAGGTGCTGGGAAATGCTCTGGGAAAGGGGAAGAGCATCAGCACAGCCCTGGTGTGTGTGTAACCAACTCCATATGGCCCCACTGGATCCACACTGGGACACAGCTGTGCTGTCACCAGTTTGTCTGTCCCTGTTCCACATGTCCTTGTGTCTGTCCCAGGGATGGAAGGTACAGCACAGCACGGCTCTGTGCCTCAGGGTGAGTCCCATTGCAGCCTCCAGCCCTCCTGCACCTCCTCAGCACCCTCTGGGGTGGGGTCAGGGGTGTCAGCCTGCCTCCAGCCTTGAGACCTAGATTTGAGGGTGGAATAGGGATATTTGTTTGTTTGTCTGGGGTTTTCTCTCTGTTACCAAAGAGACACTTCCTTCAGTCACACTTGGATCTCTGTAATATTCCATGTTACATTTTCCATGGCTGCACTCCTGTCATTTTGGGGGAATTCTCCCCTTTCCATGCATGCTGTACTCCCTCTTTTCCCTGTGCATGCTGCCACACAGCCTGTGAGCAGGATACTGCAGAGTGGAGCCCCTGTGGAAGTTGCACCCTGGGGATGGGGGCTTGGAATGGATCCTGCACGCTCAATAAATGCTCTCTAAAAGCAACAAGGTATCTGCACCTTCCCTGGGGATGGGAGCTCCTGGAGACACAGCTTTGGAAGTGCTCTGGCTTCCCAGCAAGCAGCTCTGTGGAGCACAGGGAAAACTGCTCAGAGCTTTCAGATCAGGTCATGGGTTTATCCCAGGATATCAGAATGACCATCACCCTGACCCCAACACTCCCTTCCAGCCCTCTTTTCTTCCCAGAGAAACCAATTTCCAATTTTTTGAAATTTTTTCCAATTGGAATTTTTTCCAATTCCAATTTTTCTCTGATTCCCTTGTGAGCCTGGCTGGAAGTGCTGAACAGCCCCAAGCCCTTCCCTGCCTTATGAATCCTGCCCAGCTCTGCCCATTGCTGTATCCTGAGATCTGAGCATTCCAAGGTGGGTTCCTTGTGTGGCACTGCAGATTCAGAGGGTGATTGCTTTGCTGGGGAGATCTGTGTTTGTCTCTAAACTCAGCTGACCTGAGCTGGGATCCTGGACACAGCCAGGGATTTGATCCCAGGAAAATCAGGGAAAAGAACACAGGGTTCCTGTGGAAGGTGATCTGTGCTGCCTGGGGAGGAAAATGTTTGTTTTTCCTGCAGCTTTACCCAAGTTCCATTTGTGTCCTGGGCTTTGTTCCACAAGGTGGTCCTGGACAGCTGAGGGCTGGAAGCAGGATCATACAGCTCAGGGAATGGTTTGGGTGGGAAGGGACCTCCAAGCCCCTCTCATTCCACGGGCAGGGACATCTCCCACCATCCCAGGCTGCTCCAAGCCCTGTCCAGCCTGGCCTTGGGCACTGCCAGGGATCCAGGGGCAGCCCCAGCTGCTCTGGGCACCCTGTTCAGGATCAGCTGAATTCAAGTTCCCATTTATTCTTCACTCCTTGTGAAATCACACAAAGGTTCCCAAACTCTCCATTAAAAACATCTCCATTTCCAGAGTGCTGACTGAAGGGTTTCTAGACTCAGCTCCTGCTGTACCTCCTGAAATTTAACACAAATGGACCTGGCTGGCCTTTCACCCACCCTCACGGCCAAAACTCATGGAAAAGGCACAGAAACTTTGGCTTTTTGGAATGTCTGTGTGCCTGGGACCTGTGTGGCTCCTTGATGAAACAGGTCAGGGATAGGCTGGGCTGGGAGGGGGTGGGAATCCTTCAGATGCACAGGAAAAAGCCTGGCTTTTATTAAGAAGCCACCTTGGCATGGTTCTGCTGTGGAGAGCTGGGAAATCTCTGCAGGGCTGGGAATTGCAGCAGCAATCCCAGAGCCTGATCCACCCCAGTCCCTGCCCCGAGGCACTGGAGTCCCTGGGTTTCCTGCAGGTTTTCCTTTTCCCCACTCTGTACATGAGCCTGTGTAACTCCTTTTTCTCTGGATTTTGGAGTAGCTCCAGCACAGTCTGATCCCAGCACCAAAGTTCCTGGCTTATTGTCTATTCCTTTTTTTGTAAACTGCTTGATTTTTTTTTGTTATAAAATATTAGTTATTTTTTATATGCTTCAAACCCTTTGTTGCTTTATGTCTCATTCTTGGAGCTCCAGCACAGTGGGATGGATGTTGGTGGGAATGAGCTAGGGAAATTGGGGTTGACCCCACTTGGTTTTTAGGTCACTGAAAATAATTGTTGGGAATCCTTGATTGTTTCTCCCTCTCTGCATGGTTCAGGTTCTGGGAATCAGTTGTATTTCAAAACATTTTAAAGAAAGGGGGGGAAAAAATTTAAAGAGCATTAATTATTCTGGGGAAATTGCAGCAGTTTTGGCTTTGATGAAAAACTTCATTACCGATCATTGACATGAATGGGATTGGTGGGGAGGGTGCAGCATCATTCCAGAGCAGGAGCTGTGGGGTGGAAGCACCAAAAATGTTCTGTGCAGCTCTGTGGGAGATCCAGACTTTGTCCCAGTAGGGGGAAGGCAGCCAGCGAGCTCATCATCCCAAAAATGGCTGTAAGGGCAGCACAGTCCTGGGGATCCTTCTGGAGAAGGTAAATGAACAGAACATTGAGGGAACATTGGCTTCCCACTGCCAAGGGCAAGGACAGAGGGGATAGTGGGAAGGAATTGTTCCCTGGAATGGATTTCCCTGAGAAGCTGTGGCTGCCCCCGGATCCCTGGAAGTGTCCAAGGCCAGGTTGGAGCAACCTGGGATGGTGGAAGGTTCCTGACTATGGCAGGGGGTGAAAGGGGACGGGATTTAAGGTTCCTGCCCATCCCAAGGTTTGGGTGGTGTCCGGGTGGATCCGGCACTAGAGGGCAGCAGCCCCGCAGGCAGGGGGACGGGGACAGGGACAGCAGGACAGGGACAGGGACAGCAGGACAGGACACGCGGGCGGTGACCCCAGCTCAGCCACCCCATGGGCACAACCCGGGGGACTTTGGCACCCGCCTGGCCAAGCCTCGAGGAGGAGGAGGAGGAGGAGGAGTGGAACAAAGCGAGCAGGGAACGGGGTTGGAGCTGCACCCCCGGAGCTCCCACAGCGCTGAGCTGGGAGCCGAACCCTGCCCTACCCTAAGGGAGGTCGGCATTGGGGATTTGCGGTGGAAAGGCTGGTGGGAGGAATATCCTCTCCCTAAGCAGGGAGGCCCACCTGGATCCTGCACAATCCCCCTTGGCTGCGGGTTTTGGGGTGCTCTGCAGCCAGCCTGTCCCCATGGGATGCTGTCCCCATGGGCTCTGCTCTGGGACAGGGACAGCGTGACCCCAACCCCAAACCTGCCCACAGTGACAGCGAACAAGGGAAGGGGGACAGACCCCCTGCAAACACACCCCCGCTTCCAAAACCTGCTTTTATTTACATTTCAAGTCAAATCACATGCAAACTCCTGGTTGTTTTTGTTTTTTGTTTTTTGTTTTTTTTTTCTTTCCTGGTTTTTCCTTAAGAAGAGTGTGATTAGCAAAAAAGATGCATTATTAGAATTTTCAAATAGCAATTAAATATACAAAAATAGAGCTTACAAAAAAACCAAACAAACAAGAGGAAAAAAAAAACCAAAAAAAACCCCCCAAAACAGCGAATGTTTTAAAAAATATTCTGCTGCAGAATTTGTAGTGTACAAACACGTCTATGAGGCTCCACGCTCCATAAACAGTCCCGGGTTTTTTTGGGAGGGGGGACGGCACCAGGAGCCCCCCCAGCCCTGCCCCGGGAATACTGACACCCCCTCCCTGCCCGATCCCGGGAATGCGCCCGCTGAGGACAGCAGGGGACACAGGGGACACCCGAAGCCGTGCTCGGAGGCGCTGATGGGGGTTCGGGTGTTTTGGCAAGGGGAGCTGCTGCCCACAGAGCCCGGCTGGAAGCGCCAGGATGATCCCGAAGGATCGGCCGGGATCGCCGCTGCTGCTGAGGCCAGGATGGTGCCCCCGTCCAGGAGCTCCAGGCCCCTGAGGCAGCCGAGCAGGAGGGACAGCCACCCTCAGGCCCGGGACACCCCGCACAGCCACCGGGACACCCAACCTCAGGGGCGAGCCCCCCTTTCCTGCTGGGAGCCGCAAAGGAACCGAAGGCGAAGAGGAGGGAGCAGAACCGGCCGCGACGCTCGGGGCCCGCCCCGGTCGGGGGCAGCAGCAGCAGCCGGAGCTCGGGGCCGGGGCGCCGCTCCCGGAGCTCGCCGGGTGCCACCCTCGCTTCCCGGCGGCCGCGGGGCTGCAGAAGGGAGGTGCTGGAAGAAGGATGTCGTGCCGAGGACGCCGAGGACGCCGAGTCCCCTCGTGGCCCTGGCGGAGGATCCGAGCCCAGGCTTCATCCCGGCGGGATTCGGGGCCGCTCAGCTGCGGCCCAAGTGCTTTGGTTGTGTCCGAGCGCCGCGGGCGGGCGCGGCCGGGCCCGGCCCGGGAGAGATGAGGCTCTACACGATGTTCTGCGAGCCGGGCAGCGGCCCCTGCGGCGGGCCCGGGTCCGGCTTCCCGTGCAGCTGCGCCAGCTGCAGCACCGGCATGTTACACAGGGGACACACCTTCCGCACCTCCAGCCACTTGATGAGGCACCTGCGGACACCGCGACACCGGGCATCAGTGAGGACATGCCTGACATCACTGGGGACATGCCTGACATCACTGGGGACATGCCTGATGTCAGTGGGAACACACGTGACATCACTGGGGACACACCTGATACAGGTGGGGACACAGCTGACATCAGTGAGGACACCTGACATCACTGGGAACGCACTTAACATCAGTGGGGACACCTGACATAGGTGGGGACACACCTGACATCACTGGGGACACAGCTGACATCGATGGGGACACACCTGACACAACTGGGGACACCTGACATTGATGGGGACACACCTGACACTGATGTGGAGCTGTAGAATTCCCCCCCAAGCCCCTTTACCCTGCCCTGGAGCTTTGCTGCTGCTCAGTTTTTAATTCACCATTTGGGTGCCTTTATGTTTTATTGGGATTTTTTGGGGAGGTTCTCTGTGTTTATATACAGGGATTTTGTATAGATATGTTTTGTGTATTATTTATATTTATATATTTTATAGATTATATTTATAGTCATATATTTATATGATAGGGATTCAAAAATGCATACACCTACCAAAAATAAACAAAATATATACATAAAAGGTGTCTGTGAAATTATAAACACAGAATCTGTAAATAATACACCAATAATACACAATCATATATATAATGTGTATGGATAAATAAAAATAAAAATTATGTAAATAACTCTGATGTAATCATACTATTATGGATGTTATGTATTACATATAATTACATATTATGTTATATATTATAATATATATATTATGTAATATATACTATAGTTTTAGATAGTGTATATTTATACATTTATTTAATTTAGTATATATTTTTATATATACTAAATTTATAATATATATTTATAATTATTTATAATAATATAATATATATTATTATATTTAATTTAGTATATATTTATATATTTATTTATATATATATTCCCAGTATATATAGCATAGTGTATATATAAATGTATATATATATACACATTTAATATATACATAATATATATTTTATTTATAATATAATATATATTATATATTAGATATAGTTTTATGTAGTATATCCAGTATATATAATATAGTGTATATAGAAATGTATAAATATGTAAAATCTGTAATATATAAATATAAATATATATCATGTTTCAAATCTATATAATGTATATATAAACATACAGAGAATAAAAAATATCTGTAATATATAGTAGGATATGCTGTAGTTTTAGCATATGGAATATTATATAATACAGTTATTATTTTTTTTTTAAATTTTTTTTTTAGTGGGTTTGCTTTATATAAACCACACCTATATAAAATATACATATATTTTTACATTTTTCATGGGATTACAGACTGGCTTGGAAGGGATCCATGAGCATCACCAAGGCCAAGTGCTGACTCAAGGGCATCCTACAAGTCACACCCCAGCTCCCCAAAGTGTCACTCAGTTCTGCAGCTGCTCCCCGTGCCCCAGGTGATCCAAAGGGGCTTTTCCTGCCCCTTTTTCCTTTTCCTGCCCCTTTTTCCTGTTCCTGCCCCTCCTGCCCACACTTACTTCCTGTGGAAGGCATGTTTGCAGGGACAGATCCCCAGCTCGTCCTTGGGCTTGAACTCCTCCAGGCACACGGCACAGATCTGCAGGGGGGATGCACAGGCAATCTCAGTGCTCAGGGAGCAACATTAAAACAAGAAAACTGAAATAAAACTACCAGATACCAGCAAATAAAAACTACCAGATGGCTGAAATCATGGAAATTTGGAATGGGTTGGGTTGGAAAGGACCTTTAAAACCATCCAGTGCCACCCCTTGCCATGGGCAGGGACACCTCCCAGTGTCCCAGGGTGCTCCAAGCCCTGGCCAGCCTGGCCTTGGACACTTCCAGGGATCCACAGCTTATCTGGGCACACTGTGCATGAAATTTCAGCCTCAAAGGAATGAAATTTCCCCTAAAGCCTTCCTAAATTTTTCTGCCCAAGCTCCAGGATCTCCCTTTCCTGCTGGAAGGGACCACGGAGCCTCCAGGGAACAGCCCCAGAGCTGGGATGTGTTTGAGGTTTAAGGGTGCAGGGGATGGATCCACAAGGGAACAACCCCAGAACTGGGATGTGTTGGAGGTTTTAGGGTGCAGGGGGATGGATATTTGAGGTTTTAGGGTGCAGGGGGATGGATGTTTGAGGTTTCAGGGTGCAGGGGAATGGATGTTTGAGGTTTTAGGGTGCAGGGGATGGATCCATGCTGCTGCCTGCTTCCTGGGACTGGCTGCATCCACAGGGACACCTCTGGGAAAAGGCAATGGGATTGTTGCCATGCCTGTGCCAGGGCTGGGAAAGCTGCTGGCTGTTTCCTCAGCCAAAACCTCCTTCACCCTCCCAGCCAATTCCTCCTGGCTCGTTTTGGATATCCCAGGGGGTTTTGGATATTCCTGGGTGGTTTTCCCAGTCTGCCTGGCCTGGGATCTCTCAGTGCAGCAGGGCCAGGTGCAGCTTTTGGGGTCACCCCCTGAGGATCACACATCCTGAGCTCCCCCAGGGCCTGGGAGAGGCAGAATGATGGGAAAAGGGTAAAACCAGAGGCAGAGGCAGGGAGGGAAGGGCTGGGTGGGAGCTTTCCCTGCACAGGGCTCTGGGCAGCAGCCCCATCCTGTTGGAAAATTCCCACCCTCTCCTCAGCTTTCCAGAAACACTGCCTGCAAATGCCAAAGTACAAATACCCCAAAATGAGATTTTTTGTGAGCTAAACCCTTCCAGGCTTTTCCAAATCCCAGGGAAGAGCTTGAACAGCTCTGTCCTCTTCCCCACAGAGGCCTGGTCCTCCCCAAAAGCTGGGAGGGCTGCAGACAGCTGGGAACAGAGGTGGAGGAGGGCTGAGCTTATTGAGGCCATTCCCGGCTCTGGCACATTCCCAAATCCCTCCTCCAGCCCATTTCTCACCCCAGGAAGTGCTTTGAAGCCTGTGTGCCGACAAAAACCCACTGCAGGTCGGTTTAAAGGGAGTGGATCAGAAATAGGGGCCTGGAACAGGGACTGCTCACAACCCCGGGGCCCTTGGGGTTTACCCTGGGGGCTGTGGGGAGTGGAGGCTCAGGATAAAACCTGGGATGGGCTCTGCTCAGGGGATTAAAATAAAATCAAACAAAACAGTGGTTTAGAAACAACTGGAGCTGGTGCTGAGCAGATGAGCAGCCTCGTGCCCGGATGTGGGTGGGCATTTTTGTTATCTCTAGAGGAATAAATCAATCCAGGCCGTCTTTGACTGGCATTTCAGCAGATTCCTGCTCAAATTCAGCAGGGAAAATGAGCTGTGAATAGAAACGCTCAGCCCCAAAAAGCCTGGAAGGCCATGGAGATAAAGGAAGGTGTTTGAGCCCTCGGGGGCAGGGAGGGAGGAGGGATCGGCCTCTTGCAGGAGCCGGGGCAGGGCGTTTATCCTGACTGCAGCTTTCCATGGGCTGTGCTGGGCACTGTCACACCCCAGAGGGGACGTCCCTGCTCAGGGACACTGTTTATACACGGCTCAGACTGCCTTGGCCTCCCCTTATCCACAGCTTCTTATCACTGCGATAAGAAGAACACAATAAATAACAATAAAGATGCAGGAAAAGCCAAGGGGAGCCAGGAGGAGGGACAGGGTTTCATGCAGAGTTTTGCAGAGATCTTTCCCCATTTCCAAAGCCCAGCTGGCTGCATGCTCTGCTCCCAGGGGAGCTGGATTTGAGGGTTTGCCCCCCTCCTCAGGGTGAGGAAGAGGAGGGTGAGGGAGTTTCCTTGCCCCAGGATGTGCTCACCTCATGGAGGTTCAGCTCCTTCACCTTCTCCTTGAGTATGACCTGCAAGGCAAAGAACTGGGGTAAGGACTGAGCTTCTGCCTTCAGCATTCCCAGGAAAAATCTCCACAAAGGGATCCCACTGAGTGTCCCAGTAGAACTGGAACCCCCCCAGTAGAACTGGAACCCTCCCAGTAAACCCAGCACAGGCAGGGAGCACAAGGGGCCCTGTGCAGGGACAGGAGGAGGGGAAAGATAAAACCACAAGGACCAAATCCAGGAGCTTTCCTCCCAGATTTAACCCTCCTGGGCTGCCATTTCATCTTCCCTCCATCCAAGCTGAACACCTGGAGAGGGCTACAAATGCAGGACAACTGTGTGCTTCCACCCCAGCTCCACCCAGCTTCCTGCACAGATCAAGGGGTCAGAGGCAGAAAATCCCACAAAGCCTGGAGAAAACAGGACCTGGAAGCAGCAGCCTCACACCCACCCCTGGGCTGTGTTTGTTTTAATGTGTGGGTGCAGGGAAGAGCTGGGTTTGCCATGGAGCTGCTCCCTGGAAAAGCCCTGTGGCTTCAGGGATTTGGAGCAGCCAGATCCAACCCTGGGAGCAGATCCAGACCCACAAAATCCAAGTTTGGTGACTGGGGGAGTGATGCTGTGCAGTGGGTGAGGCTGGAGAGGCTGGGCTGCTCCAAAGGTGGAGATGTTCCCACTGCTCAGAACCTCAGTGGAAAACTGGGAGACTCAGGGATGAGCAGGTGAGGGATGGGGGCCCAGCTGGTAGGGGACAATAAAATCAGCAGGGACAGGGCCAGAAACCTCCCAAGGAGAGGAAAATTGATGGATTTGGCACTAGGGAGAAGGGAAGGGAAAACAAAAGTTGGAGGATCATCTCACCTGTTTGTAGGCGTAAAGCTCCTTGTGTGCCTGATGCCTGAGCCTGCAATGAAACCAGGGAGAAACGTGAGGTCAGGCAGAAAAATCAGGATTATTGTAATACCTCAAACATTCCACTCCCCTCCTTTCCAGCTTTAACATGTTATATTTCACGTTTTTTATTTCAGAAATGAGAATGGTCACAGGAAATGACATGTTTAGGCAACATCCAGATCTCCCTGTTGCTGGCAGGGCAATGTCTCCATCCCAAAGCACACAACTCCTCCCTTATCCCTCTTTTGACCTCCCTGATTTTCCAAGCACACATCAACCACATAGTTAACACCAGAAAAAGTGGGTGAGGAAATCACAGTGTGCCATGAATCCTCTCAGTTTCCAACCACTTCTGGTTGGCAACAGCTCCAACCCTGAAAGCAGCACCCTTTTCCAAGGCATGGGGGCTCAGACTTGAGGGAAGCTCTGCTCCCACTCCAGCAGGGACAGGGAAGGAGACCCTGCCCAGAGGTTTCCCACCAAAGCCCCCATTATGTTGCACTGGGCTCCTCAAACTCAGCTTTATCCTCAATTCTAAAATCAATCAGACCACATCCACTCCTGGAGCAGAGTGAGAGATGGAGATGAATGGGATGGGCCTGTTCCAAGAACACCTGCTGCAGTGGCAAGCCCAGCAGGAATTTTAGGCCACAAGCAAAGTGCTGCTTCCATCCCCTCCCTCCCCAGCCTCCAGAGTCAGAGCCAGCAGAGAGCTCCACAGGCATCTGCTGGCTGGAGAAACCCATTATGCTCCTAAAATAAATATACTTAAAATTAAAACAACCAATAATGCCTCTCATTACCAGACATGGCATTTAATAAAGTGCTTGGAAAACTCAGGAGGGAAGTCCCCAGGGCTGAAGAATTGGCCAAGGACTTTCAATACAGAGTCAATGTGTGGCTGCAGGGCTTGGAGAGCCACAGGAATATTTTCCCCAGCCAGCCCCAAGTGATTTTAGATGGGAAACCCCCTTGCCTGGAATTTCTATTCTGCAAAAATATTTTGAGGGCTGTCTGAAATCCCTGGCTGCTTCAACCTGAGCTTCTAGGGGTTTTCCAACCCCGCCACGCTGCAGTGGGGGAAGTTATAAAAACGGGATGGAAAAAAATTCCCTTATGTCTGACACCCTCCCACAAAATGTTGTGGGCATGAGAAGGTGAGGGATGGGTAAAAATGAATTTTCATGCTGCAGGGAGAGATGCATAAAGCTCCTGAGTCCCACATTTCACAGGGAGCCATCCAGCATTGCTGCCTGGCAGGAATCTGCCTGCAGAACCATGGAAAACACGGCAGCAGGCAGAGAGGAGGAGGAGGAGGAGGAGGAAGAGGAGGAGAAGGAGACTGGGGTCTCATCCCTCTGGCAGTGACCCTGAGCAGAAACATGAGCAGAAGATGCAGGAACAATGGAGGGAACAGGATGAAACCGGCCCCAGCCGCAGGGATCCGACGCTTATGAAACACAGATGGGGACGAGCCAGGCTGGAGACACAGGAAGGGAAAACTGGCCTGGAATGGGAAGCAGCTTCCCTGTGTATGGAGCACTGAGAGGACACCAAGGGGTTGGCCCCCATGAGCCAAAGGAGCACCCTGGAGCAGTGGTGGTGATACCAGTTGGTTTTTCTGGGTCTGGATTGAAGGCACTTGAGGAAGTGTTTATTATTTCTTATCAGTAAAACAGCCTCACTACTGTGAGTTGTGCAGCTTTTCATTAGAAGGCACAAAATGGCCAACAATCTCTTGTTCCAAGGTCTTTTAAGACTAAACTATCCAATTAAGAGCTGACACCTGGATTATTTTCCCTTTTAACCCAATAACTGATCCCACAGAGCCCACAATGCAGACTTTTCTGCCCAATTACAAAATGCCACCCAAACCCATGAAGAGGAAGGAAGAAGAAGCATGAAGAAGAAACCCAGGATGACACCCTGTGCCCTCCATCTTGCTTCCATCCACAACATACTAAAAATCCCAAAACCTCAATTTCTCCCCAAGTGACACACCTGCACTGCTCTCTACAATCTATTTCACACTTTTATGGATTCCAGTCTATCTTGAGTTCTGGGAAACTTTCTCCATGAATGAGGGTCAGAGTCAGTGCTGCCCTGGGGGTCAGGGCACCCCAGAGCAGACACAGAAATATTCCCTGTGTGCCCTGGGTTTCCACAGAGCAATGGTGGGGAAGAAGTGACCACGTGGCTGTGGAAGCACAGATCTGCAATGCCCTGGGTTGCTGCTGAGCTGGACAGGGAGATTTTCCCTAAAAACCTCCTCCCTGGAGGATGTGGGGAGCAGCAGGAGCACATCTGGAGCTGAAGCGTGCGAGCTCAGCCTGCTCCTCCTCGCTCCCTGAGCCAGGATCCTGGGCCAGATGGGGCCTGGTGCAGCTGTGAGAGGAGACCCCGGATCCTGGCAGGCTCTGCTCCCTCCATCCATCTGGTGTCAAGTGCTGTGACTCCCCAGGAATTCCTGGCAGATGTCTGCCCCAGATAAGGGACCACACAGTGCCTGGCTGCTGATCCTGTGTGCTGTCACCCTGCTCCCTGCAGGAACCACTGCCTCTGCTGGGCTCTGGGATCTCTGCTGCAGGAGTGGGAGCTCCCTGCCTCTCTGGGTGACTCAATCACCTACAGCACGTGAGCAACTTTGGGGATAAATTGCAGAGGAAAGTTTTTTTTTGCAGGTTTAGCTCTGAGATTTCCATTAGATGCTTTATAGAAGGAGAAGAGAGGCCCTGGGCACTGGCTTTTTATCCCATCATTGTGTTCTGTCCCCAGCTCAGCCAGGCTCCTTGGGCTCTTCACAGAATCACAAAATTGTTTGGGTTGGAAAAGCTCCCTAAGATCATCCAGTCCCCCAGCACTGCCAAGGCCACCACTAATGCATGTCCCCAAGTGCCACATCCACATGGCTTTTAAATCTCCACAGGGGTGGGGACTCCAACACTGCCCTGGGCAGCTGTGCCAATGCTTGACCATCCTTTGGGTGAAGAAATTTCCCCAATATCCAATTTAATTCTCGCCTGGCCCAGCCTGAGGCCGTTCCCTCTGCTCCTGTCCCTGTTCCCTGGAGCACAGCCCGACCCCCCCGGCTGTCCCCTCCTGTCAGGAGCTGTGCAGAGCCACAAGGGCCCCCCTGAGCCTCCTTTGCTCCAGGCTGAGCCCCTGCCCAGCTCCCTCAGCTGCTCCTGGTGCTCCAGACCCTTCCCCAGCTCTGGATCCTGGCAGGTCTGAATGCAGAAAGAAACAACCCTATTAAAAAAAGACTTTTTAGGTGCTGTGTACCCTGAGCCTGGCAGAGCCTTTGAGCTGCTCCAGGCTGGGCAGGGATGAGCCCTGGATGATCCCCAGCAAAGCACAGAGAGAGGATGCTGCAGAACTGACCCACAGTGAGGGTGGCACTGCTCAGCTCAGCATCCTTCTGGACTGGGCTTTATGGCACCAAAGGCAACAAGAGTTTATCACTTTCATTAATTCACCAGAGATCAGACACAAACAGCTGCCTGCAAAATCTCATTTCCTTGTTCTTCCTTTTTTATCTGTAATTTTGCTGAGCAGAGGCAGCAGCCATGAGGGACCTGAGCTCTGACCTGAGTGGTTTGCAGCACCAGAAAAGCTTGAGGTTCACCTGAACAATACACAGGCAATAATGATTTTTCTTGTGAAACTGGACTCTTCTTTTGAGCCAATCCAATTAAAAATGTCACTTTTCCTTCCCTTGGAGCAGACAGCACAGCCTGTATTGACACAGCTGCAAAGCACAGCCCATGTCCTCTCCTTCTCCAGCACATCTTTTATTTAATGCCATCAGCTCTGTGATTTGGGGTGAATCCACCTGATATTGGCTCTTCCACACTCTGGATGCCTCCTCAGCTGGGGATGTGGGGAGAGCTGCAGGGGTTGCTCTGATCCAGAGCAGGAAATGAGAACCAGGGCCCGAGGGTGGTGTCACGAGCCTTGCTTGGTGTTTGCCAAATATTTGGAGATGTGGAGTTATGGGAAAGGAGGGAGAGGAAGGGCTGTGTTGATGCTGCACCTATGGGAAAGCCAGGAGCTGCTGTTACCTGCAAAGAACCCCCACAGATGGAAGCAGAGCCCTGGAGCTCTGGAGGGGACCACCGTGTCCCTTCTGTTGGTCTCTCTGCCCTTACAGGTGGGTGGTCCTCATCCTGTTGTCCACCTACAATGCTTCCAAAATTCAGACTTTTATATCCCAGCTGAGCTGAGATTACAGAGCAGCTTCCGTGGAGGTGGATGCTCCTGGGACACTGGCACAGCTAAAAGCCACAGCACAGCAAACCCCTCCCCAGTGGGGGCTGGAGGATCCTGTTTTGGTTCTGTTCTGCCAATAAAAGAGCTGAGGGAGGAGGGCTGAAGAGCCATTTGTAGAGTCTCTCTAGGGTTTTGAGCTATAAAGGGATCACTGGATGACCTAATCCAAGTCCACATCTATCATGGGTTGCTAAATGGCACCTCAGGAACAGGAGCCAAAACGTCTGGTCCAGAAAGGTCCTCGGTCTTGATTGAAAGGCGTGAGGAGACTGAGGATTTGCCACTTCCTTGCTGGCTTCTCTCACCGGTTACTCACCCTCTCTCTCTTACAACACGCCTCCAGCTTCTAAATTTAAAGATTTTCTGGCTTGACCTTCCAGACATTACTCCTTGTTGTTCCTTCTTTGGGGCACAACACACCCAGCGAGTGCCCAGGAAAATGCTCTCAAAGTGCAAACACCTCTGCAATTTTCTAAGTGAGCCGTGTAGACTCGAGCTTCACCTGAGCAAAACAAGTCCTTGAGCCCTCTGAACAACTCTGGTCTATTTTCATGCACATTCAAAACACAATTTTCATAATTGTAGGGAAAAAAATTAAGATATGATGGCCAAGCAGCCCAAATCACCCCTCAGGAAACCTGGGTTTGGGATCATCTGCATGTTTGATGAGGTTTTGCTTCATACAGAACTGAAAATGGGTGGGAATTATCAAGTATTTAGAAGGTTGACATTGAAATCTCATTTCCCTGGTCTACAAGAGCAGGATAAAATATCTTCAACACCCTTTGGATAGATAACCTGGTGGGGACTGGCTGCTGTGGTGCAAGGAGAGACTGGGTGCCTGTTTTACAGGAACACAGGGAAGGGATGTGATGGATGCACAGCTTGCAGGGAGCTGGGGCCAGCTGGAAAGACAGAGGGGAAGGAAAGGGGATGGAAAAGCTGGAGAGCTCTGGGAATGCAGAATTTTGGGTACCATTGCTGGCAGAATGATGACCTCTGCTCCCAGGCACAGGTTGAAGCACAGCTTCCTCCCATCTTGGGTTATCAGCACAGCTCATCTCCATCCCCACCTCAATTCTCAGGCATTGTGGTTTTTCTCCACTTGCCTCATTTTCCCTTCATCAGAAAGAGTTTCTCCTCTCAATTAGCAGCCCAACAATCTCCCCAATGGCCCATAAAATAATTAAAACAAGCCCCAAACAGGAACAACCTTTAACCCTGCCATCCTGCTCCCCCATTGCTCAGATTAACACATCAACTCTGCATCATTAATCTCCAAACTGTGCCGTTGAAGGAGCAATTTGTGTTCAATCAGCAACGGAGCAGGTATTAAACATTCCTTAGGCACGCAGGACACGAGTTACTCATTACAGAGGGAAATGTGTTGAAACATTAAGCAGAAAGCAGGGACCATGAAACATCCCTTTCCAGGTTTTCTGAGAAGCTGACCACAATTCCATACCTTTAGTAGCAAATGTGCATCTCCTGCTTTTAAGTGGATAATGTCACTGTTTTGTGGGACAATCAGGTTGACACAAGATGTGTCAAGGAAATTGGTGCTGCCAAGGAAATGATGTGCTGCCAATCCTCTTTTTGGGATGGAGGGATCAGTGATTGGGCCTGGGAGCAGGGAAGCTCTGGGGGAACATTCCCTTACAATATTCCCTTACCTGATCAAGTAGCAACAGAAGAGCAAGCTGAGGATGAAGACGAAGATGGCTGTGCCGAAAACCACGATGTATATGTTGAGAGGAAGGTTCTGGAACCCGATGTTCGGCATCCTGAAACTGTAATGCTGGAAGTCTGAGCTCATGGGTAGGCTGTGGAGACAGGGAGAAAGCACAGGGATGTGACATTCCTTAGGGATGCACTTTGCAGACCACTGGTCCCCTGAATGGATGTGGAGGGGGCTGGAGATCACTTCTCACTCATCCCCCTCCTCCTCCTCCTTGCCCAAAACCAAGTTCCCATCCTGGTAACCCTGAAAACAAAGCAAGGCTGGATCAGCTGGGGCTGGGATTTTCCTTCTCCCACTGTGAGCTTCTCCTCCAGCTCTTTTCCTTTCACACATCATCCTTCCAAGTTAACCACTGGATGAGATGGAGGGTGGGAATTGCATCCAAGCAGCCCCAGCTGCAGCCAGCATCCCTCAAACCCTGCAGTAACTTGGTAAAAATACTGAAAGCAGCCAGGAAGCCTTGGAGCAAGTTTGCCTTCCCTTCCCCTCCAGTGGTTTCCAAGACTGACTCCTCATTCCATAGAAATCCTGCACCAAAACCATCAAAGATGAAAAGGAAGAGGACAAGGACATTCCCAGGACACACAGTAGTGCCGCTGAGAGAAATCATGGGGACTCTGTAAAGGAGCCTTTGTTTTCCCATCTGAGATGCAGCTTTGGTGGTTTAAGAGCACTTCTGCAGGTTTCAGCTTTGCTCCTCAGCACAGCCCCAGGCTCCTTCCCCCCAGGAAAGCCCCGAGGCACCAGCGAGAGGCAGCCAAGAGGAAGAGGCAGCAATTTTGGCTGTCATGTCCCACGTCTGGGACCCGTGACCAAAACCTCCCTCCCCTTGGAGAGCCCCAATTAAACCCCGAGCAGCTGTCTGGGATAAGGATTTCAGCAAATCCTGTCCCCCAGGATTTTAATTGCTCTTATTTATTATCTCTTATCTTCCTATCATTCTCTGAACCATTTGCCCTCAGATGATCACAACCGTTGCTGGCCAGGCACAAAGTTCCCCTGCCCCCAGCTTAGAAAAGGAAGTTAAAAATACACCTTGTTTTCCCTTCTGCCCACGGGAGAGCAACGTGTGATGAAGTTTTACAAGCAAGGAAAGTACCTGCAGTCTGAGCCCTGTTTCCCAAATAAAACCACCAAGGGATAACAAAACCCTCCCCTGGAGCAGGGAGTTTTCCACGGTGCAGTAATTGCACAGCTCCTCATTTTGCACAGGGTGGGAAGGCGGTGGGGAAACCGCAGGATCTGAACCCACACCCGCTGGGGAGCGATGCTCCAAAATCCAAGTGTCCCCTGAGAATCCCTTCCAGCAGCATCCTCACTCCCAAATCTCCTTTTCCCCCCTTTTTTCGCCAAACCCTGTGAGCTTTCCCCTGACTTCCCAGGGGGAGCAGACTCACCTCTCATCCCGGCTGCCTCACCGGGACTGTCCCCTTGCTGAAGGCAACATCCCTGCCAGCCCCAAGCACCCGCCCGGGAGCCTCCCTGCTCCGCCTGCTTTCAGTTTCCTCCCTCGCTGGAAGTTTCGAGTCGATTTCTGGTAAAGCCTGGATTTGATTAAAGCCTCCAGAGACCAACACCACGCATGTTCAGAACCTCTCCTGGCCAACGTGGAAACGCTCCGAGAGCTCGGGGAGCCGGCACATCCCCCTGCCAGCGCTGGTGGGGATGGGATTTTATAGCCCAGCAACCACCCAGGAGGCAGCTCACGCTCCTCCACCGACGCCTGTTCCGCTCAGCTGAGCTGGTTTGCTTTGCAAATCGATTTTAAAAAGCCCAATCCAGCCCCCAAACCTTTGTTCCCAGCTCTGGCGGAGTTAATGCGCAGCTCGGAGCGGCGGGGCTGGGTTTGGGTTTCAGTGCTGTGGGTCAGAGGGATTTGGGACGGGTCAGGGGCTCCCCTCGGTCACACTTGGGGCATGAGGGTGTTTCAGCTGGAGGACACTGCCCCACCTCGCCCTCAGGATGACAATCACTGCCTTTGGCCAGGGCTGGCTGCCTCCAGCTCCTCAGCCACCCCAGAGAAACGTCCTCGGTCTGGGAAAGCTCCAGGTGAATTTTTGCAAGGAAGGAGAAACAACTCTTGCAGCTCTTGGCAACAAAACCAAGCAGCGCTGGACTGTAGCTTTTCTTCCCTTTACAACTCTTCTAACTCGTGATGCTCTTCTCAGCAATCCTGCTAAGAGATTCTGTGGCTATGGAACATCCAAGGCTGCTTTTGGGATAGCAAATCTCATCAAGCCAGAAAAATTCCTCATGCTCGTGTGCACCTGAGCTGTGCTGCTCTTGCAGCAGTCCCCACATCCATGAGCACAGCTAGGAACCATCACAGCCCTCAGCAAATGGACAATCAGCAGAAACAGAGCTCAGGCCAACCCCCCAGCACCCCACTATCCTCCCCAATGGAACCATTTCCCCAATATTTTGCCCCAAAAGAATGTCATGAACGCAGCCATGTCCTACCTGCCAGCCATGTCGTGGGGGCTCAGCCTCCTGGGGACAATCCTTCTGTCCCCTGTGGTGCAAATCCAGGGAATCCCACACCAGATTCATCCAACCCCGGTGTGAAATAACCTTCTCCACATTGGAGCTGCCCTGGTCCTCCCTCCCTCCTGCTGCAACAGCTGAGAAACGTTACAGCAAAAACCACGGAGGTTAAAGGGGGAAAATCAGTTAGTCTGCCCAGGATCCAGGAAACTGTTAACTTTAAAAGACTCCAGTGAAATCTGATGATTTCAAGCAGCCAAGCTTTGGGGTTGTTTTTTTTTTTTTTTTTAAGGGGAGTGGGGGGGGAGGGAACTGTATTTTAAGCTGCTTCAGATTTGCAAGGGCGCAGCCAAAAGAAATAAAAAAGGAGCCATAAAGAAGGATGAAAAGTTTCTGGTACAGAACAAAAGCCTCCCTGTTGCTCTCTCCATGGTCAAGGCATCTCAGAGCAGAGAAATGATGCTTGTGGGGCATCCATGGCCCCCAGCAGGTCCCTGAAACCCCTGGGATGGGGGACATGGGCTGCACACAGAAAAGGGGGCACTGGCACAGGGTGCCCAGAGAAGCTGTAGCTGCCCCTGGATCCCTGGAAGTGTTCAAGACCAGCTTGGACGGGGCCTGAAGTGACCTGGGACAGTGGAAGCTGTCCCTGCTCATGGGAGGGGGTGGAATGAGATGAGCTTGGAGGGCCCTTCCAACCCAAATCACTCCATGATTCTGTAATTCCATGATTCTGTGAAAAACAGCAAGGAACAATGGTTCCCTGTCCTGGGATGCAGAGAGCCACAAATGGCAGAAGAACCTGAGCTCCTTCCTTACACCCTCCAATGACTCAGCAACGTGGGGCCAGGCACATCCACATTTCTCCAAGGAGGACAAACCCCAGCTTTAATTAAAAGCCAAAGTGCTGGTTAATGGCCCATCGAGCAGCCAAGGAAGGGAGTGTCACAGGTCAGCCAGCTCCAGCGTGGCAGGGCTTTGATTACAGTTGGGCTGTGAAAGGTAAACCTCCCCAAGCCACGTCCCAAATTAATCCCCATCAGAGCCACAGCAAGCCCTTAATACGTGGGGCCAACCTTGTACACAGAAAGCTCCTCAGGAGATCTCTCAGGGATTAATAAAGCATGCAATTGTCTGCTCACAGCTAGAGAAACTGAGGCAGGGAGGAGGAGGGGAGCGAGGCAGAGCTGTGGTCCATGAAGCCGGGGGGTGACACCAGGGATGCCACTTTAAGTAATGCCATGGGCTGAAAGCTGCAGATTTTTGCTTCCCTGCTGCTTTGCCACATGGATTGGAACTGTGTGCTCCTTCCTGGGGTTTTACTTATTAAAAGGAGCTGCTTGTCCTTTTTAAAAAAAAAAAAAAAAATTATTATTATTTATTTATAACATTAGTGCATAAAGGGGCCATGCATGTGCTGTGCATCCTCACACCTAAATACAGCCCCATGCTGGGTGGAGCAGTGGCTTCTGCCTCTGCTGTTGTAAATAAACTCCTGTTTTTAGAGGGATTTACTTTATGTTTTCAAGACAAAAACAACTTTCTCCACGGGGGTTCAAAGCAAACTCAGCCTCAATCTCCTCAGCCATTAACTGGATGGAGCTGGTGGTTTGGGCATCCCACTGGCCAGGCTGGCAAAGCCAACTCATCCCCAGGAGCTTCAAACACCCAGCAGAGCCAGACACAGGCAGGCCTGAAATCACGAAATCTCAGGGAAAAGGGAATGCTAAGCCGTGGCCAAACTCCAAGCTGGAATATTTTATCGATGGGAAAGGTTTCAAGCGGGCGTGAACGGCGTCTCGAGTTTCAAAGGCGATTTCGCAACGTGTTTCAGACAGGTTTAACCAAAAGCGTTATTAACTGGTTGAAAGTTAAACTGGGAGCAGCTGACAAGACCTTTCTGAAACAGCCCAAGTCGTGATGCAAAGCAGGGTATTCTTCCATGGAATGGTTCTACAAGAGGAAGGTTATTTAATGGCTATGACTAACGGGATAATATTTAAAAGAAAAAGATTCTTCCAGGTGTTAAGAAGCGGCAGCCAGAGACGCCCTCGTTTAACTTGCAGGCAAAAAAATCCCCCTCGTGGACCCCAAAAGCAAAGCAAAGCCCTGACCTCAAGCAGCTGGAAGGAATTTCCTTCAGCTCTGTCTCTGGAGCTGGTCCAGAGCTAGGATCTGCAGCGTGGTGATGGGAAAATCACAGGCAGCTGCAGAGCCAGCCCCAAACCAGCATTGCCATCACCCTAGAGATGCCACACAGCTGCATCCTGGAGCAGGGGGAAAACTCAGTGCTGCTCCAGCCAGGAGGGATGGCCTTTGCTGTCCAAAACCAAGGAACAACAGGATTGAGCATGGGGGGAGAACAAAACCTCTTGGCATGATGCAATTTCAAAGAGCTACGACGCTACCACGGGGATGCCACATCCAGTGCCAGCTCTGAGCAGCCAACCTGGCCCAGATCCTTCACTCCACAAACCTGGCAGGGAATGGAGGAGCGTGAGGGATGGTGCAAGGCTTGGCAGGATTATTGATTAGGGAAGAGGGAACATCCCAACAGGTCCCTCACACCACAGGCAGAGTTGTACCAGCATCCACAAAGCTTGGCTGGGGTGATGCAGCACCATCACAGCAGCAGAAAGAACTTCTGGGTGTCAAACAGTACAAAAACCACATTTGTTTCACCCATTTTGGCTGCCTGCAGGTTTGGGGGTGCTGGTGGGTTTTTGTTGTGTGCCTGGACATCCAAGGAACCAAACTGACCTCCAAGAACAAAGGGCTTTGGACCTTTGATCCCTCCTCCCTGAAAGCGGATCCGATGTTTTTTTTGAACTGGAATCAGGAAATTTCCTGGCTGTGTTCCCCAGCAGGCTGACACCAAACACAAAACCTTAACCCTCTCCACTGCCTCTGGGCAGGGGACACAGAAAGTGACGTGACAACACCACAAAGCAATTGGAAAAAAAAATAGGAAAGTCTAAGGAAAGCAACATCCGGCAGCACGACTGTACTGCTGCAATTTCCAGCAAGTCCTTCTGATTCCAGGCAGTTGAAGAAACAATTAATCCCAGAACTTTAAAACTGAAGAGAAGCTTTAAGTGGGAAAATGTTTTTGCTACCACTGGCAGAGAAATGTGCAGAAATGGGTCAGCTGCAGCTCCCATCACCCACTGTAAAGTCAAGTTCCTTCTCCTGGCGCCGTTGGAAAAGCAAACCAGAGGTTTGCTCAGGGCTGATTTTGCAAGTTCCAGGAAAACAGGCAAAAATAAATAGAAAAAAAAATAAAATCAATAGGACAATTTAATACAGTCTGGAGGAGGGGGGAGCAGAGTTTGGAGGGGAGCCCTGCCTGAGCTCCCATCAGGGATGAGAACGGGGAATCACTTCCCAGGAGGGTTTGAAGCAGAGCTGGCAGAGCCTCTCTGAGAAAGGCTCACACCAGCTGCCCAAGGACAGCTCCATTCACTGCTCAGAGATGAAATAACACTGGAGGAATCTTTCCCCTTTGGCCTTGGGGATTTGTAATTATTTTTCCCCCCTTTTCCTGGCATGCAGTTCCAACGTCACGAGCCTGTGAGCTCACTCTTCCTCCCCAAAGTGTGGTGGGAAAGGATGTGCTGCTGCCTCCTCCTGCCTCCAGCCCTCTTTGTACTCCTGAGGTGAAAAGAGGAGGCAGGAGCCATCACTTCCCTTTATGGGCTGATGGTGGTGGGACAAACATTATTACATTTGGGTGTATTTTAGCCCAAAAAGAGCAATAAGAGCACAGGCAAGTGGGAATAATCTCCCATCTTCATTTGTGGTAGGTTTTCCTTGTTCACAGTGTTCCCCAATATAAAGGTTCCATGGGGAACATAAATTGGAAACTCCATGAGAAACACTCAGCCTACACAGTTGAAGGGTCAGAGCAGAGAAATTGATCTTAAACACTCCAGGGAATTTGAAAAATTCCTGGGTGATGACACAGAGCTGTGGGAAGCAATGGGGACTCCCAAAATATCACAATTGGAAGAAAAAAAATAAAAAAAATCCCACTTTGATCAAGTTGTCTTCATGCTGAACCAAAACCAATCACTTTCCATGGAGCCAAAGAGCAACTTGCCCTCTCCACCCTAATACTGAGAAGCAGATGGATTAAACAACTTCCTAAAACCCTTTTTCCCCCATTTCCTAAGCTCCTTTAATGAAGGAAAAAAAAATGATGATCACTGCAACACACAGGAATCAATAATCCTACAAAAGCCTGCTGGAGATGAGCACCCTGAACCAGTGATGGGATCACAGCTGCCAGCAGCCATCCTATAAAGGCAGTTGGAGGAGCCAAGCACAATTTGGGAACAGGAAGGCAGAATGATCTAGTTGACACTAAATAAGGTTGCTAGGTTATGGATTTTTGTGAGGGGGGACATAATCTGAAAGGGGATCCAGATGGCTGTAAAGCCTTGTGGTGGAAAAGCAGCATGAGGCCAGAGAGGGAAGAATTCCTCTTTATGCTGCTGCTGTCTGCTCCTGGATCCTGGCTTTCAGTCCTCACCCTTTAATTTGCACCATTTATATTTGAGGTAAAAATTAAGAAGGGGTAGCTGGATGGAGAAGAGTGAAAAAGCTCATGACTGGATACTGGGGAAAAAAAGTCCCTAAACAAATCCCATGGAGCAGCCATTCCCCCAGGCCCCCTTTGATCCAGCCAGGTTTGGATTTTACAATCCTGACAGCCTGGAAAAGGCTTCAGGGAAACCCAGACAATCCCAAACCCCAGCCTGCTGGGAATTCACACCAATGCCACGTCACTGATGTTTCCAATTTTTCCTAATACTTCAAAAAAATGAGCTGCACAAACAGTCCACCCTTTCCTGGTTTTGACCCAAGTACTGGGATTTAGGGGAGCATTTTTTTTTTTATCATTCCTTCTCCCTTGCTAACAGAGACTGGAATGGTTTTGCAACGCTTCAGAGAGTCCAGCAAAAAAACCTCCTGGGAATCATATGGAAACAAGACAAAAACTGCTTCACCTCTATGGGACTGGCACAAAAAAGGTGGCTGCAAGGATGGAAAACCCCTCAAAATTTAGTTGGGAATGAAAAATGGAACTTTTCCACAGCCAGACTTGCACAACTGAGGTGCTTGAAGAGAAACATCCACCAACCAACAAATGCATCTCCTCCTCTGTCACAGTCCCAGCACCAAGGGTGATGCCATGGGATATCATCCTTCTTCCATATTCTCCAGGAACTGTGGCCTGACCTTAGTGGGGTGCAGAAAATGAAGGGACCTTAGTGAAGCACTGGCACAGTGGATTCCTATCCCTGGAAATGTTCAAGGCCACGTTGGAGCAACCCTGTCTAGTGGAAGGTTTTCCTGCTCATGGCAGGGTGTGGAATGAGATGGCCCTGAAGGACCCATGATTCTAAAATCCAGGTGGAGCCATACCCCAGGAGTCTGTAACCAGGAGGTGATGGACAAACAGGTGTAAATTTTCAACACCACCTGCCCACACCTCTCCTTTGCTTCTTACAGGGGTTCCTCAAAAACTGAGCCCTAAATAAGCAAAACCTCAATTTACAGCTGTGCTGCTGATGCACAACTTGTTTTTAAAATAAAAAAAAAAAAAAGCAAACCAAAGCAAACACCTTTTGTGAGTTACTTAAAATTTACATTTTTCTTCCAACTGACTGAATGACTGAACAAAACCTGCTAAATATTTTCTGAGAGCTTCGAGGCTACAAAGTTAAAAACCACCAGTGGGAATTTCGTGTAACAGTTTACTGTCAGATCTCCACGAATTCCCGGGTGCTGAATCGCCTACTAGAAGGGAAAATATATGAGTGGCACTAAGGAGGTGGCTTAGCAACGAGCAGGCTGGCAGCTTCAAGTGGCTTTTTAAAGGTCAAGAGAGAACACGGTGCCTGGAGCCCTCACGTTCCATTTTTTTACTACAATTTAATGATATTTCTGGCCAGCCCGGTTATTAAATTGCCGCCTCGCACCAGCCAGCCACACATCTGTTAAACCCAGGCTTTAAATGAAGACTTTCCCCTCCTAAATATCCCCTTTCAACCCATTCTCACCTTCGGCGAAGTGAAAAGCTTTGTCGGGATGAAACACAAGGAGAGGTCCCAGCACGGAGGGGATTTTTGGGAGGTGCTGCTGAGCAGCATCATTGAAATTCAGCGGGAGAAGCCGGTTTTCCTCGGCTCTGCGGGGGCTGCCATGTTAAATCACATTTGGATTCACAGTACAAGGCTGCTAAAATACCACCACGGCGCCTATTGGCACATTTCAATGAAAACGCCGTGGCCTCATTAGTAGAGTGGAAATTATGAGCTTGTCTTTGTATATATTTAAAAGCTTGCCTCTGAAACTCTACTGGGTCGGGGCCAGGAATTCCTGGCTCTGAGCTCCTACCACTCTGCAGTTCGGGATCGCTTTGCTCACACAGGTCAAGCGACCACGCAGCCATCGACCCGGGAGAAAAGGCATTTAAAAAGTGCCCTGAGGGGAGAGGCAACAGGGTTTGAACTAAACCCTCCTCCCTGTCAGCTCCCTGCGAGCTGGTTAGGCAGCAAGTCCTAATGAAAGTGCAGGTTGTAATTAAGAGGATGCAGGAATGTGGGTGTGTGGAGTTTCATCCTGCTCCCAAGAGCTGGGGTGAGAGCATCCTGTCAGCCCAGAAGCCCAGAGGGGAATGGACCACAAAAGCCCAAATCCTTTAAAATGAGGGGCAAAGTCGTGAAATAACACGGATCTGGTCCTCTCAAGATGGGAATTTGCAGGTCTCTGTGAAGGAAAACTTTAGGCTCAGCTCCCTACTTACCTGCACGGGCGCCGCAACGCAGCCAAGCCACGCAAACCCAACGTATCTGCTTGAACAGCTACCGTGCTTTGGTACCAGGGATGCTGGAAGAAAAGAGAAAAACACCCTAAAAATTGCACAAAAATCCAGAGGGAGCAAGGCAGAGGATGAAGACGTGGTTTTTAAATGCTTGGATTCTAGGAGGCTCCCAGAAATTGCTTCAGCTCTTGGTAACAGCGCAGAGATCCCCTTTTAAAACACGGCGGTGACGTTGAGCGGCATCGAGAGAACGGGGGGGAGGCTTGGCTAATCCTCACAATTTTATAAGCATCTGAGACACTAATCCCTTGATCTCATTGAAAGGGATTAGAATTACTCCCTTGCCAGGAAATTTAAGAAGTTTTCTACCAGATGTAAACAAAAGCACGGAGCAGCCCGCAGAGATGGCTGCCACACAGCGAGTCCTCACAGAGAAATCTGCATCTGGGCTGGTTTTGGGGTGGAAAAGGGGGATTTCCAGCCCAGTGCTGCACAGGGTTGTCTGGAATGATGTGGGTATCCAAGGCAAGCCTGATCAGTCCATCCACAATAGGCTCAAGACAGGATCCCATAGGATCAAGATAGGATCCCATCGCGGGCAAGCAACCTGCCAGGGATTCACAACTCATCTTTGGGCTCCAACTCTTATGGAAATGGATGCTTCAGCTAAAAAAAAAAATAAAATCCATCCCAACCACCTGACTTGTTCTGCATTTGCCTAGGAAAACATAATTTTAATAATAAGAATAAGAAAAAAAAATCTGAGCAACAAAACTCAAGTTGTGCCCAGCTTTCATCCACACAGCAGCCTTCATCCACACAGCTCTGTGGTAATGACCTCTGGGTTGATAAGGAAAATATAACATGGAACCCTCATGGAAACAGACTGGGATCTGCTGCTACCCTCACAATGAGTGATTCATAATACTGAAGAATAAATTATTTCATTTAGAAGATGAGGCAGGCAATGTGCAATCTGGGGTTTGATATGAATTTGCTACTAAGTTGGATGTGCCAGCTCAGAACATCAAAAGCTGAGATAAATCAAACCTAGAGGAAGCAGAAAGGATTCAGGGAATCCTTTGGAGAGGAAATACAACTTTTGTTAGAAAACAGAAGTTTTCTAAGAAAGAAACGAAACTTTTGTCAGTGCTTACTTCTTTCCTCTTTTAAATTCCATCCAAAAAAGAAACCTAAAGGGACTCAAGTTCCAACCTCAGTATAAACAAGACCACAATTTCATCAGCTTGTCTTAAAACCCCTCCTTTTGGAGGTGTCTGAAAGGATGGCAGCAGAATTCCTCTTCTCCAGCCCATTTTTCTCCAGGACCATATCATTTTTAGTTTTTAGGCACAAATACCCAGCATCCCCACTGCAGTCCCATCTCCCAACTCCCTGCACTCTCTTGCTGCCAGCTTTGGCATCAAAGGCTGGAATAAATCACCTGATGTCAGGCTTGTCTGCAGCTCCATCCCTCTGCCCTGGCTGCAACACATCCCAGGTCTTTCCCATCACCTCCTTGACCTGCTCCTCCTGCTGCATCACTGGCAGCTGCGTGGGGAAGATGCTCCAGGAGGAGGAGGAGGACGCAAGGAGGAAGCTCCAAGAATGGTCAGAAGCACAGGACAGCTCAGCATCCCTCAGGCAAAGCCACAGATGAGAAAATGATCCCTTTTTCCTGCTTTTATTCCCAAAGTGCCACCCCCAAACAACACTCAGCACAATGGTGAGGCTCTTTTGGTGTGAATGCCAAGCAAGACCGGGGTGCAGGGCTCAGGTGACAGACACCCAACCCACAACAGCTCCACCAGACAGGCTCCAGCCAGCTCATCCCAATTTATTCAGCCCTCAAACCACCCAACATCACACAATCCCATCCCACTTCAGATGGCCACCACCACCACAGCCTCCAAAAGCCTTTTATTTTATCTCACACGCCAAGAGAGAAAAACACTGGGTCTAAGGGGTCTAATCCAACACTTCTCAACTAAAAAGCGAAAGAAAAAACCCCAACCCCGCAGCTTGGTTTGAGCAGAGCCAGGAAATTGCCTCGGGGGAAGCCCAGCCTGGCGACGGGTTTTTACAGGGAACAATAGGAAAATGGAAGTCGCTAAAGCACCGAGGAAATATTTGCCTGCTCGGGACAAAGCTCTGCGAGGAGAGAAGTTGAACTCGATCCCTACAATCCGAGAGCCCCGGTCAGCGGGAGGAACGATCCACTCCATCCACTCGGGTGGATTTGTTGTAGTTGAAGTTGTTGGGTGGGAACTGACCCCTCCAACCCAGTTCTGATGGGTAATTTGGCTTCACCCACTTTCTTACCTGCCGGGCTGCTCCTCCTGGATTTCAAGGACCAACGGGAGAGCCGAAATGCCCTGGTTTAATGCCTGGGAAGCCGCACGGTCACGGAGCTCTTGTGTTTTCCCCAAAATACTCCCATAAACCGAGAAGCTGGGAAACTCACTCCTTCTGCACGGGCTGGGAGAGGCTGGAATCAGGAGGGCAGCTCCCTCCTGCTCAGCACTTTCAGTTTCTCTCTCCAAGCACTCTCCTGGCACAACTTCCTCTAAAGTGCTTTGCGAGTGAAAAGCTGCATTAGTGGTGGGATTAATCCTCTGAGGGGATAATAAAATCACAGAATCATGGAATCGTTTAGGTTGGAAAAGCCCTCTAAGGATAACCCAGCACTGCCAAGGCCTTCACTAACCCACGTCCCCAAGTGCCACATCCTCATGGCTTTTAAATCCCTCCAGGATGGTGACTTCAGCCCCTGCCACGAAAAAGTGGTGTCAAAGGCCTTGCCAAAGTCCAGAGAGACACACCCACGGCCCCTCCTTCACCTGCCAAAACAGATCACCTTGTCACAGCAGGAGATCAGGTTGGTCAGGCAGGACCTGCATGTCACAAACTGCCACTGGCTGCTCCAGATCCTCTGATTGCCCCGTTGGTGCTGCTCAGGGTGATCTGCTCCTGTCACCTGACTGACAGCTCTGTAGTTCCCAATATCCTCCTTCCTGCTCTTCTTGTAGCTGTGTGTGTCACATCTGCTCACTTCCAGTCAGCTGGAACCTCCCAGTTAGCCAGGGCTGCTGGGAAATCATGGAAAGTTACCCCCATCCATTGCAGCAATCCATTGGTTTGAGTCATCCCACATGACTCTCTGCTGGCAATTATGTCACAGCTTTCCTGATGCACAGTGGCTTCCAGATCGTTCTCCTGTTGGTGACCACGCTGTGGGTGCTGCTGCAGGTGCACTTCAGTTGGGTTATCAATCCCACCACCTTTTTGGAGAAGTCCTAGTTCCTATATGACCATTCTTAGGGGCTTTTCATGGTTTCCAACACATCAATAACCCCTGTGGCTGTCACATGGATCTCCATCCCCTGCCTCCATGCAGACAGCACACTGAAGGACATGCTTTCCCCTAAATATTGGGATGGGCCTCCAGGATTATGCCATGCAAAGATCCTTTTCCCCCTCAGAGCCAGGAAAATCCAAGTTCTTCAGCAGTCTTGGTGTCCTGCAAACCCACCCAAAAACCCAACTAAAGCCAAAATAAGCCTGGAGAAGTCATTCCTTCTTGCTCCTCACACTCACAGTCCTGAAGATGAAGCAAAAAAAGCAGGATATCCCTGCCTAGGCTTCCCAGCACCCTGCCCTCGCTGCTCCTCCTGTTTCTCAACATCTCTGCTTTTTCCACAGCCTGATCCAGCTGCAGCTCCAGCACTGGAGCAACATGAGACCTCCCAGCCTTCAGGTACACTGAGCCAGCTGCTTCCAGCTGATCTGGTCCATGAGCTCCTGCTGCCCATCCACTCATTGGCATTAGGGCCAGGCTTGTCTCCTCTCACCAGCCCTTCAGCACTGCAAGTGTTTGTGAGCAGGACACCTCCACATGTGGCTGGAACCCTTTAGATCTGTTTTTTGTTCTTTGATGGAATTTAAACATGCCAGACAAGTAGGAAAACAACACATTCCCTGTGTTACTGTTCCAGAGGGAACAGCATCCAAAAATGACACAGCTCCATCTCCAGCAGGGACCTCTGCATCCCAGGATGGAGGAACAGGCCCTGCTCCAGCCCACTGTCAACGTCAGGGCTTTCCCATCCCTCAGGTCAGGGAGCAAATCACCACTGCCCATGGCTGCAGCAAAACCACGTGGGTAAGGATCATCTCCTGAAGTGTGTTTTCCATGGGATCCCTGGCATTCCTCGTTGTCCATGGGATCCCTGGCATTCCTCCTTTTCCATGGGATCCCTGGCATTCCTCCTTTTCCATGGGATCCCTGGCATTCCTCCACACAGTGAGTGGCACCTGCCGGCCTCAGGCAATGACTGGGCTTACTCACAGTTAAGCCAGGCTCAGGGGATGACTGGGCTCACTCCGGGCTCTCTCGCAGTTAAGCCGGGCTCAGGCGATGACTGGGCTCACTCTGGGCTCATTCACAGTTAAGCCAGGCTCAGGAGATGACTGGGCTCACTCTGGGCTCTCTCGCAGTTAAGCCAGGCTCAGGCGATGACTGGGCTCACTCACAGTTAAGCTGGGCTCAGGCGATGACTGGGCTCTCTCGCAGTTAAGCCGGGCTCAGGCGATGACTGGGCTCACTCGCAGTTAAGCCGGGCTCAGGCGATGACTGAGCTCATTCACAGTTAAGCCGGGCTCAGGCGATGACTGGGCTCACTCGCAGTTAAGCCGGGCTCAGGCGATGACTGGGCTCTCTCGCAGTTAAGCCCGGTATCACACCATCACTGATGCCGCTTTAGAGCCCTGTCAGCGGCTCGGGGTGGGGACACGGGAACACCAGGACGGCCGCTCCCAATCTGAGTCTGAGCGGTTCCAGGGCAACAGTGACAGGGGAGGGAATGGCTGTGACGGCCGATCTTATCTTGTGTCAACAACACTCAGCTTTAAGGGGAATGATTGCAGGAACAAAAACAAACAAACCCAGCTCGGGCACACCAACCGCTGCTGAGACCGGGGGAGCTTCCACCCCAAAAAACACCCTCCAGGCTTCCACACCAACGGTCCAAACTGGTCCAAATTGGTCCAAATTGGTCCAAATTGGCTGAGGAGCAGCAGAAGGATCTGCACCTCCTGCCAGGGCCCCAAGGACGGGCTTGTTTGGGTTTACTGTGCAGCAGGAGCCTGGCAAGGTGGGGGAGGACCACGGCTCAGCGCTGTCATCCCAAGGCAGAAGGCTCCAGGTGGGAACAGGAAACGAGCACCAGCTGTGCCTCTCTCCACCTTTTCCACATCCAAATGTTGTTTTATGGCTGTGAGGGAATCACTCACAACACATCTTCTGCCACACAGCCTGAGTGGAGGTGACAGCAGGTCACTGGCAGGGGTGACCCAAGGGGGAACACCTGGAGAGATGGTCCAGAAGCACAAAAGCCCTGCTTGCAAAGCCAGGAGTCCTCCTGTCATCCCACACATCATTTAGCCCAGGAAGCAGCTGGAAGTTGGCTCTTCTTGGGTACAACCTCCAGGCTTGGTTCAGATCCATAGTCCTGAGCAGCTCTGCTGCTTCCTCACCAGGGAATCCTCCTCCTCCTCGTCCACACCATCACCTGCCTCTCCCCCAGGGCAGGGCCAGACCACTCTCCAGCCAAGAACAGTGGCAACAACCAGCAGCCATCACCTTATTTCCCATGTGGCACACAGTGTTCCTCATCTGAAGGTCCAACAGATCCCACACCATTCAGAGCACGCTGACCCCAAAGGTGTCCTTCACGGCTGGTCCATCACAGTTATCTCCAATCACACCTGCAGGTGACTGGATCTGAGCCTGGGATGCACAAGCAGCAAGCTCCAGCAGAGCTGACTCACCTCCACATCTTGTTCTCCCCAAATCTGAGACAGCCTTTGACCAAACAGCAATGCCAGCAACACAAGAAGCAGACCTGGAGTGTCCCAGCCTTGGTGAACGGGGACAAAATCAGCAAACCTGAGCTGAGCAGGGGTGGAACAGAGGTTGTGGGAGGTTGTGGAGGGGATCTCCTCCAGCAGCAGGGCTGGGAGATGTGGGAAATCACCACCACACCCACCTCCAGCAGCTCCACCACCCGCTCAGGATCAGGACCACCATCTGCCAGCACAGCCCTGTGACCGGGTAACGGGATCACATTGGTGCTCCTGTCTGCTTCTGGCACAAAGGGCTGGAAGCATTTATTTTCCCTTTTTTAATATGTTTTAAATACCTCAATTAGTGCATGTTGGGTTCCTTCCACATTGCCCCCAAGCAGTTCTTCTGTCAGGGGCTCTATCCTTCCACTGCTGATTATTAGTGGGGCATGGGGTTGTTATTTTTTTCCAGGCCAGGGGCCAAATTTGTATTTAATTTTTGCTCCAGATGGCACAGCACTCCAGATGCATCAGCTGGAGCATTGAACCTGTATGAATAAAGTAATAGAGCAAACAACATGATTTACTCAGGGGCTGTTTGACACGCTTAAGGTGCTTTGTGTACATCTGTTGTGTAAAAAAAAAATAGCATTCAAATGAATTCAGATGATGGTTTCACTGTTAAACCCAACACCTGAGGGAAATGAAACAGCAGTAGGAATCTAAAAAATAATGATGATGATGATAATATTAGAACTTATATTTTGCTAATGTAAAGTCAAGGATATATTAAAAAAAAAAAAGGCTGATTTCAGCCATCACTGCTGAGTATGGGCCTGGGTTTTGTTCACCTTCCTCTGTTCCCAAAGCTGCTGCTGGCAGCAGGTCTTGAAAACCAGGGTCAGAGTTCTCCCAGGAGAAGGGCTGGTGATCCCAGATTTCAGCGTGGTGCTGAGAGCTTATGGCTCTGCTCACCCGAGGAGATGCAAGGAGGACACCAGAGGACAACCACGAGATGTTCCAGTTATGCTTCTGGCAAATGCACCCCGTTCCCAGAAAGCTGCTGCATCCCTCTGGCACAGCCTGCAGCCAGGATGTGCTCCCTGCAAACTAAAGCACCCAAAATAACTCAGAGTGGGAAAAAAAAAAAAGACAGACATTGAGTAGTCGGGTTTATCTGCCCGGGCACATGAATAGCCGCCGTGTAAAAACCAGCTGAGCCCGCAAACGCTTGGAAACAAAGGGATGGGGGGGAGGTGTCTTTTTGCTTGGCTTTGCTCGGTTCAGAGCATCCTTGGGCTGTGAGAGCCCGTCCTGGCGGCACCCGAAACAAAGGAAAGCCGGGAGCTGTAGGCAGGAGCCAGCTGGGGAAAACCGGGACGACGAGGAGGAGGAGGAGGAGGAGGAGGCACCCGCATCGCCCTCCCCGGCAGCTGCGGAGCCGGGCTCGCGTGTTGCCGAACACGTTATCCATGGCAGGAAACTCGAGATCAAAGGCGAGGAGCGTGCCAGAGCAAGATGTCATCCAAGC